GTATTATGATATCATTTAAATATATTATTGAAGGATAGGTAATTAAAGAAAAAAAAAACTGCTCGCATTGAGTGTGACTTTGCATTTAATTGTATTCAAGAAATAATGCTCCCAAGGTCACTTTTTTTCTGGACAGTATTTTACTGAATTTGAGTATATCTCTAATTTTAGTAACAAACTAATGAGCAATTAGGCTATTGAGCTGTTCTGCAACTTGTAAGTATATAGTTCCTCATAATTAGTAAACATCTGTAAAACAAGTAAGAAGACAAAATATGAAGCAAACTGGTTAGCCTGCATACAATAACCATGTGAGTATATTTGTTACAAGAAAGATAATGGGGAAAATGCATATTCTTTCATAGGAAAGAAGGTAAAAATGAAAGCCATAAACCTAAATGTAATAATAAACATTTGAGGGGGAGAGAAACAAATAGCTAATCCACAGATTCTGAAACAAGGAGAAATTCCTTTTTCTTTTGAAATAACATGGTCTAAAGGTGCTATTTTGTCACTGAAAATGTTCCTACGTATTTTTAAAATATGGCATTTGTGGACCTACTTGCTTTCAAACAGCTGCTGGCTCAAAATCTGCCAATTTTGCAAGTCATTTAAATGTTCCATATTATATGCCAATGAAAAGATACACTATCAGTTTCCTGACAGATGCAAAATAAAATTATCTGCTGTGAATCTAAAATTAGTTTATATTCAGTCAGCCAGAGAAATGTTTCTCTTCTTAAATACTTCTTTTTAAAGAGTAGATACTTGTAACTGGCATGAGAGAAAACACGAAGTTGGATGGTATCCTGTTCATTCTATCATACCCCTTCATTTAAAATCAATAAGCATCCAATAGAATACTACATTATTTTTAGGACTTCTTTTAAATATTTTAAATATAACTGATTTTTGAATTAAATGCTTTGGTTGCTTAGAAGAAAACGTTATTTTCTACTCCAGACCAAAGATTTTTATACTCATTTCAAACTGTAGCACATTGTAACCAAGAAACATGAGCATTGAGGTTTTTTTTTTTTTTGGTCATACTAAGAAAATATTGACCTCTTAGTATAGTTGTCTTGTTTCCAAGTACTTTCTCCTTAATTCCCTCAAACAGAATATAAGGAATAAATAAATGTCAGAAAAAGGAGGAAAAAAGTCTCCAAACTTACTTTTTCTTCAGTCTTCTATCCTTTTCAGCTTGAGTTCCAAGTTTGCCTAAGCCCAGGGACTCCTGGGCTGCAGCTTCAGTCTCCATAAACCCTCCTGTGAAGAAGTAACTATTCAGGTTA